ATGATTCTGTGAACCTTATTTCATACTGCCTCCTTTCATGCTATCGTTAGGGCAGGTATTTCGAACAGGAGGGCCTGTTCTAAAACAGTTTCTGAAAGGAATAATTACTGTCTAGAGTAAAAGAAATTCTTTAATATATGAAGTCACAGAAACAATATGTGTGTGTTCTTAAGGCTGCAGCGTTTCCAAAATAATGGCAGGAAAAAGTAACTTTAAGCCTCCAGTAGCAGTAGCATCCCTCCATTTGACCTTTTGTAGTCTGAAAAATATGGGAAAGTTCTGTCTGCTGACTTGCTGAATCTTGTTTACATTAATACAGACAAGAATTAACTACCCACTCCCATGGTTTTATGGTCATTTCACTGATACAACTTGCATGCTGATTGTATATCTGTTAGATCTTCCACAGATGAGACTTCTTTTACAGAGACTAAAAGGGTTTTACAGTGCCTTGTGAGCCAGTACATCACTATTTCTGAAGCTCTTCTTCAGATAGAACTCCCTTTGAAATCAAAGGGAGTTCTGTCTGAATAAGGACTTCAGGATTCAGGCCTCAGGATATAAATGCTGTGATCAATCTTTTAAGCATGATGAATAACATTTTCTTGGCTTCCAGAACTATATTAAGCCAAATAATAGCCCCACAATTCTAGATGGGTTAAACAGGAGAATCTGCTTTGTTTCAACTTACATCTTTCTTTAGCCTTTAAATCAGCCTAGTTCCCTTACCTCATACTGATGTTGCCCAAAACTCCTCCAACAGTAAGACCAAATGTTTCAACAGTTACTTTTATAATCAAGCCTATCACAGCATGAGGCACTATGAAACAGTGCTGTGTTCAATGAAAACAAACATACTTGCTGCACACTGACCTGTTTAAAAGTTGTGACTCGAGTGTACAGTCTGAAACAAAAGGCCTGAAGGCTGAGAACTTTGTGATATGGCAGAGAAGTTTGTAGGCACTGATTCTGATCAAAACATCACAGTAACAGACATTGCACAAACATCAGAGTTAGTGATACAAAAAGTTGACAGTTCAGGTAGATAAAATAGGTATTCCGTGTCCTCTGTAATTACTCTGACTTTATAGATGGAAAGTTCAGCTAGGGACAGATTATATGACTTACCCAATACCTCCAAGAGGTACAATCACAGTTGATGCTTTACTACTGAGACACTTACACAATGTAACAGTATGTTACAGAACTTAAAAAAAATCATAGCTTCCCCTTTCCAGCCCCAGCCCTGGCTGGCCTTCAGCACTCTCAGCCAAGCTTGCCCTGAAACTAAATGCCTCAGTCCTTCTCCTTACTATTGACAAGTTTTGCCAGCGTTGATTTCAGGGGCAACAAATCTAGTCATAAATGACACCCTGAGATCAGCAGCTGATACTGTCTTAATAATTGTTGCCAGACAAGCAGTAAGGCATTAGCTGTGTGAAGGAGAGCAAAAGGCAGCAGATCTCCCCATGGGTCAGGATTGGTCAGCATATCAGGCTCTCTACTCCTCTCAGAAGGGACTCATCCATGACAACAACCCATATTTAATTAGAAGAATCTGACAAATGGCTCCACAGATTATAAGATTGTGTCACAATTCAGGTTGGAAGGGACTTCACGAGGTCCCTTATCCAACCCCTGTTCAACGCAGGGTCAGCTCTGCAATCAGACTGGGGTGCTCAGGGCTTTGTACTTTTCAATCTTAAAAACATCCACAGATAGAGACTACGTAACCTCCCTGGGCAGCCTGTTCCACTACCTGTGTGTGCTCAGAGTAAAAAAGCTTTCTCTGTCCCTTGCTCTCATCTTCTCCCCTACCAGACCCAGATGTCCGAAAACATGCTTCCCCTTCCACAACAGCTATTTGCTGCATCTCTCAGTCCCTAACTCCAAATACCATCCTGGTATATATTACAGCAAGAAAATGTTGAAGCCCTCTGCTGCGAGCAGAAAAAAAGCTGCAAACAAACAGCTATGAAGCTGATGATGGAAACATGAGAAACATTATACTACCCGGAATACAAGCAGCTGGACTCCAAACTATCAGTTCAACTTCTAGAAGAGTTCCTCTATCAGTAAGACTAGGGAGAAGGTCTCCCTATATGCAAGATCTGCTCTGACACAGCTGAACCTACTTCTTGTTTTGAACAAGCAAGGTCCTGTCCAGTTTGTAACTTGTAGCAGTGGTGTAAACAGCCTGCTGATTCAGTTGCATTTGTAGATTGTTTCCAGCATTTGCTTCTTTGATTTCTTTTTGCTCTTCTCTACTTCTTTTTTTGCTCTTTTCCATATCCAAAGAGTTCCCCCTCTCTCCCACAATTAGGTCAAAAAGCCTCTGACTTCCTCAGTTGCTGCAAAGCTTTGGCTCTACTACTTCCTTCTGTGGATCTAGTCCAGCTGCTAGGCTGGTTTCTCCCTAGAGGCTTCCTGGCACAATTCACTCCTCTATCCTGGTTCCTGATCTTGAGGGAAGAGGGAAAACAGCCAGCACAAACAGGCAGATGTGTAGCAAGAGACAGCTCACAACCACTCAGCAGCATGAAGTTACGTTTGTCTACCTCAAAGATGAGGAGGAATTTCTCTCCCTGAATTTAAAATTTAAAAACAAATTGTTCATTTAGTGAGAGCAAAATGGTTCCCTAAGCCTCTCTCTGACCAGCAGTCCCCAGGGTACAGGAACCTGCTCATCCCCAGGATGCACAGAGAGTTCAACCTGGGACTTTCAGGCAGCCCAGCATTACTATGGGGAGCAGCTGGGCACAGCATGGGCTGGGACAGCATTGAATACAAGTGCAATGGAAGAATTAATACTAATTGGCTACTCTCCAGGGAACCCATGGGGCAGCTCCTTTACAAGTCAATCAGGCTAGGTGATCCCAGCTGACAGGAAGTGCTCTGCTCTTAGGACCTTACAGAGATTGAGACTGTTTTTTGACCCTTTCTTCATCTACAGTTTAGAAACTGCAGGTTATTGAATTTGGTTGCTTATGCTCAAAGTCAAGACTGCAATTTGCTTCTATTTGCTGTACTTACGCATTATATTTTTGGAGGAGTAATACCCTTCAAAAAGACCAGAGGAATATCCACTTCCTTTGCATTTGAGATTGTATGATAAAAGTTACATATATATCATCAAAGGAAGTATGTTAGGATCCTGTCTTTGCTAGGAATTGTAACTGTGTTGCACATGGGCATTCTGATTTGATGCAGCTGTAGTTGAGGTGGCCTCTGGGGTAGCACCACCAGACACAAATTGTGCTCCCTGCAGCATTTCATTTCCTGAAATCCTGAAATGAGCATCTTTCTGCTGACATCTAAGATGAGGCTGACAGTGTCTCCCAGACTGCAGAATATGAATGAAACTTGTATTCATGCCAGCTGTGTTAGAGATCTAGTACAAAACAACATGTATCAAATGGAAGAAGGATTCACCCAGGGAAAATAACTGCAGCTTCCAAAGGGAGATTAACAAAGACTAATTTTTTTTAATGGATCTTTGCTGCTCTTTTATCTTCAAAAATCTTCATACATTATAATCCTGTGATTACCTTTGTTTTTCATTCTTACTAAGAAAGAAATGAAATACATAGTAAATGTATTAACAAGAGTGTATTGCATAGTGCCATAGTGATTCCCACTACGGAAATAAAGCTAAGATCTAGGCAAATGTTTACTTGTATTAACACTCTGCTGTCATACTGTTTAAGAAGAGGTCAGTGGAATACAACTCAGGATACAGAAATACAAAGAGAATTTAAAGATTCTCTTTCCGACTGCCATCACCACACTGAATTAAGCTAATCTCTTCCTTATGAAGCATAGCAGCTCTCTTGCTCATGTCTGAGAACCCTGAGTTTCTAGCTCACAAGGATAGAACAAAAGATAAAAAAATGAAGACTCCATTGCCTTGTTCTCAGCTCTGCCACAAGAAGAGTATAAAGGGGAGAAGATGTTTGTCTGTGTCAGTTTCCCCCAGCTTTTATCAGCTGATGAAGTCTGATGACACAGAATTGGGATACAGAATATATGCAGGAGTGATAAACATGACAAATTAGAAGAACAGAAATGGGGCAGAAGGTGTGGAGCACAAAGCGCAAGATGCTGCCCTAGGGGACCAGACCACAGATCTCCAACAAGCTAAGAACTTCTGCAGCAAATGCTCATCAGTTGTTAGAACACAAAGTACACAGAAGGAACTCAAGGGGAAAGAAGTGAAAGCCACGTTAAAGGACAACAGTACAGTAACAATCAAGAAAATGCTAAAGAAGAGAAGTGAGGTCTGCAGCCATCTTCCAGGAAAAGCACTGGAGAAAAAGTATTCTACACTAACATCTTTCAAATGATGATTCTTTATCCATTTATGAAAATTAAATTCCAGTCCTATGTTCCTAAATTTTTAACAATTCAAGCTCCTGATTTTCAAACTGATTGTGAAACAGGTCTGTTTGTTGCATATAGTAACAGAAATGTTCTCAAGTATTAGTTTGTTTGAAAGTGTTCTAGTGATGGTTTGAGGGTTAACTACATGTTTAAAATAGAAGCAAAGCACTGTATGCCAGTGGATAAGTAACACACAGTGGGACTAACTGGTCCAGTTTAATTGCCTATGGTGAACAAAATGCAAGTGCATTTGGTAAGACCTACAAACTGCAAAAAATTTAATTCACCTGTAATATTATTTCAAATGTAGCAATCAATGCCTCATTTGTTAAACACAAACAGGAATTGCATTTAAATACAAAAGCTTTATCACAGTAGCATGCCCTCACTATTCAAGTTGTATTAAAATACTCACCTACTTATCATCTGTTTTCCCAGTCTCACTTTTCCATCACTTTTGCAGCGGCAATTGCAAAGTCATTTCTGGACTCCATTATTTTTCCTGTTATTTTTCAAACCAAATTCCGTAATTTCTTTTCCAGATCTTACATGCTATTTCTGTCAAGAACTCCTTTTCCAAGTGTGAATAGATTTGAATATATAGACAGACTCCAAGGAAATATAACTACACAGATTTGAATTTAATTATAAGCACAAGGTCACACACTGTGTTTTGTTATACTTGGAATTTCAACCAACTGCTAAGCTACATTGCTGTTACCAAAAGGCACCTCAGAGTCTACTGTGGAAGATGATCAGTTTCATCTACTATCATCATTGGAATGTAGTCTCTGTAATGAACTGCATTTGTTTCTGGATCTAGAGCACTGGAGAGCATCTCTTCCATTTCTTCCTCAGTAAACGGTTCACCTGAAAAAGAAAGGAAAGTAACACTTTGTCTTGGTAATTATTCTTCTCAGGGCTTACAAATTACCATTTCTCTCCTGCAAGGATATTTTTTCCGTGTTTATGTGCAGAAAAAAGAATCCAATTCCTTCACTTTTGCAAATGCAGAAGTCCTGCAAGCCAAGCCAGCTAGTTTTAAAAAAGACAGAGGGCTTGGATCTTTTGATTCACATTTAATTCACAAGCTCCAAAACACCCAGTCTTGCACAAGACATGCTTGTCATTTTGTACTTGAGGCAGGCAGGCATGAATCAGCCATGCAAGAAAAGCAGGCTCTTCAAGGGATACTGAAAATTACATGATATGCAACTTAAATCTGGTCTTTGAATCTTTGTTTGCAAAGGGCACTAGAATAAGATCAAGATAATGCAGGAATGACTGAGTACTGAAATTGCCTGAAACGTTTCAAAATCTAAACTGAGGTTTTAGAGGGAGGAATAAAAGAAGTCACATCCTTAGGAAGCACAAAAATGTGCACGGAATCACAAAATATTCACAAGACTATATCAAGATATCAAGACTCTATAAGATCTTATAATATCTGCAAAAAGGCAGATACATGTTCATTCCCTGCATTATTCACCAGGGAAATGTTCCACTCTATACACACACTCATGAAGGCAACAGGATTGCCTGAAGATGGTGTACCTACTCCTGCAAGTTTCGGCTTCAAGAATTAGGACTGCAAGGTGCCATATACACATATGTTTATTTACATAAACAGTGATATTATAAAAATCATATTACCTTCTTCAGTCATATGTTTCACCAGATCCTCTTTAGTAACGTATCCACTTTTATTCTCATCTAAAGCCTTTAAATAAAAGGGATAAACTGTTGTGTTTTCATCATGCTACATCAGCTACTTTTTCCCCAGCAATTAGGTACCTGAATATTTAGTTACAGACCTCAAACGCATGTAGAAGAACATCTTCTGGAATAGGCCTGTAGCTGAAACCATTGAATCAGAAAAGAGTTAAGTTTGTAAGGCTGCTGTACCATTCTGAAATAATAAAATATGAGTAGTAGAAAGGAAAAACCTATTTCCTAGTTTGTCTATTAAACATTTAAGTCCAGTTTGACTTTATGGAACTTTCCATATCTTCACTCCATGTCTTTCATTGTATTCCTGTTTCATTCTCTTTGTGCTAAGAAGCCAAATGAGTTGCTTTTGCATGTCTGAGCAGGCTGAGTGAGTTACTAGGAATCAATAGTTGCTGAATCACTCCACATAGCAAATGCAGGGAACAGAAAATTGCCAAACCAAGAAAACAAAGTTTTGTCCAGGTAGGCTGGTAGCTAAGCAACAGATCACCTAGTGGGACTTTGACAGCCTATTGAGCTGACAACAGGCAACAGTTCCACAGAGCACAGCACTGGGTGTATGTGTGTGCTGACAGTGCACCTGATTTCACAGCTTTCATTTTAAAATGCTTGGTTGTTTCATCCAGACTCACTTCACTCTTTTACTATCTAAAAACCAAATTGTTCTTTATGATTCAGATCTCAAGTGCCCTTGGATAAAGTGAACTATAGACACGGCATTAGAAGATAAACGTGAGTCTCGACAAGCCTGAGCTAGCCTGGAAAAATGTGTGTTCTTGTGTGTGTGTTTGTGTCGATGGGGTGGAGGAGGAGGAGGAGAGAGCCTGGGGCAGCAAGGCATCGCTTTGTGAAGTGTTGAACATCAGTGTTAACCCAGAAACAGGCCATGAAGGCCAGAGAAGGCAAAGGTGCAGAAGTGCAGAAGACTGGGAAGGCAATGCACTCGTGCCAGCGTGCTGGAACCAAACATCATTGACTGGTCCCTGTCCAGGCACAGGGACTCAACACAGCCTCAGGGAGTGCCCCATACTGCAGGATGCTGTGAGACATTTGAGGGAAATCCCATAGCTATTTCATGTAGAGAACACCAAAAGAGCTCCATGTACAAAATAGCTTCTGAGTTTTGGGCAAGACTAAACCCCTGGTTACTGCCTTTAAAAAGATAAACTCCCTATAGTTAAGACTACTTTTTGTGCAAAATATCAAAATAGCACAAGTTCCTGTGTACATCCAAAGATTTGTATGTGCCTTTCAATAATGAACAGCACTCTTTTTCCAGACTTGTAGATCAGCAAATATTTTAGATCAGCAGAGTGCTGGTTGTGTATATTCAACAATACCTGGCACTTTGAGACATGAACGTGAAGCTGATTTATACAACTTATTAAAAATACACTTTCACAGACCATGCTTCTCAAGCAACTGTAACTCAGATAAAGTAATGGCTGTGACCTTATTTGTATATAAAATATTTTCAGAGTTGAAATAGCAAATTCTGATTCACTCTGATTCACGTTAAAAATACAATAGCTAGATGTTACCACAATTCATTATTATAAGCTGATGGACTATTGGCACAAATAATAACACAATTTTATGTAGACCATATCATTATGAACTAAAAGTCTCACTACCTAACCTAATTTAAAAAAAAAAAAAAAATCTGTATTCCTTCGAGTTAAATAAAATTACTGCAGATAAATTCATTCAGAATCAACCATGGAGTAAACTAAAGACCCAGTTTACATTACCTTCTGTCCAGTAATACTTTTGTCATCACTGGAAGAAATTTTTCTAGATGAACATATCCAGTTGGTGGTTCTTCTTCTACCTAAAAATAAGACTCAAGCATGATAGGTTATATGAATCATTAGCAAACTAATAGAACAATTAGAAAACTGAGGTCAGGTGAGCCCTGCAATAATTACAGATTTAGACTTTTGAGTGTTTATATAAAGTTTATGTGTGAAGTTAATGTCACATGGCACCATAACATATGCCTGAAATACTTCTGCTCAAATAGAATTCAAGGAAGAAATAATCTCCCAGACAAAACATATGCCTGCTACTTCAGAAACTTTCAACAACTCAATATTGCCCTCTTGTGCTTCGAAGCCATTTACGCAGCAGAACTGGACACCTAACTGATCTCCCACAATAACTCAGCAGTGGTTTTAAAATTCAGACCACAATTATATTAGTGAAGGCAGGTATGACCTGGAGCATCCCCAGGATGTGCAACATGATCATCCATCACAGCACACTGTCACCACATTCCCCAGAGTGGTTTTGGCCTATGCCATCAAAAACTTTTGCCCAACAGCTACCAGGTCCAGTTTGGGCATTGGGTCTGTGGGCACTTCTCCCCAGCAGCCATTTAGTACAGCCACCTAGCATAAAACATTTACTATCATAAACATGGGCTGCTCTGTGCCAGCTGGCTTCAGTTCCCAAGGATATTTCTGGCACATTTAATGTGCTGATTTGGACACAGACCCTGCCTAGTACATCTCAAGGATGGAATTTATTGCCTCCATAAGTTCTGTAGCCAGAGAGTCACAAAGAAAAGGTCCAGAGAATCAGACAGATGGAGTCAGGGCAGTCTGAAACAGTCATAAGTCAGTCCATAAATTACTGCATTGTTGCATTGCCTCCTATGCTACTAACCCTAATCAGGTCAGGACCAAATAACTGCACGTATACACCAATATGATGGACAGCAAAATGGCATTTACTACACGTGAACCCTAGCTTATATACCTTATGTGCTTTGTCTACACCCCTAAAGCATGTGCCACACATCAATCATAGAGCTGGAGAGGTCCTGCTGAGTCACATCCTGAGGGGGGGGGGGGGGGTAGGGTGGGGGAAAGAGAGGGTGTCTCACAGTCACCTAGAAGAAAAGCTTCCCTTTGCCTCTCAAATAAATTAACAGATTAGTCCCAAAGCATCATGGACTTCTAGTAGCATTCTGATGGCATTACATGGTAAAAGACTGCTCCCTACAACTTGAATGCATCTTCTCCCTAAAAGTTCGAAGTTTTATCTCCAAACAGAGCTCTTAATGGAGCCAGTTTGCTTCTGTGTTGAAACTGGATGCTTAAATTGTAGTCTCACAGTCACACCCTACCAGGCTCTTTACAGACACAGCTCAGGTTGAAAGAAGACTCAAACAGGAACTGATCTGAAATGTCTAACTGAGCCAAGGAGATCTAACGCTATAAACCTTCCTCCTGGGAGCTGGGTCAGAGAGTAGGGTGTTGTCTACATCATTAAGTTGCTTAAATGTGGAACTGCATCACAACTTTGAGAGCTATCTGTACATGGAATGTTTTAGGGAACATTTGTGCTTCAACTTGTATTAGTTCAAAAGTCCACAGATCAAAAATGAAATATAATAGCTATATATAATTTATGACAAATGTCATCCAGATTTGACTCTCTTTTTGGTGTGCTGTTTGTACTTTGCATCCAGAATGCAGTTTATCAAGAACTTCCTGACAACAGACCTAGCCCTTTGAGGTAGTAAGAAACCTCAACTCCCTCTGACCTTCTAGAATAGCTGCCATTCCAGTGGCTGTACAGGCCTAGCAAAGTCTTAAACTGCTAAAATTAATCCTATTTCTAATATTAAATAGATGTGAAAGTAAACTGAATGTATGAATTTTACCCAAGTCTATAAGTACCTAGATTTACTTCCCCTCCCCCCCCCCCCCAGTGGCTGTTAAAATAACAGTACTTGTTCAAGCTCCATGGATGTTGCTCTGTTCCCTTCTTTGGGTACATCCACAGCTCCTATAACAGATGTACTGTAGCATTCATTCCGTTTCATATCTCCACCACCTCCCTGGGCAAATTGTTCCAATACCTCATCAGACTTTCTGAGGAAAAAAATTATTCTTAATATCCAACCTGAACCTCCTCTGACACAGCATGAGGCCAATCGCTCTCCTCCTATTGCTGTTACCTGGGAGAAGAGGCTGACACCCATCTCAATACAGCCTCCTTTCAGGAGTTGCAGAGAGGTAGTGAAAAACAGAAATAATCCGCAGCTTTAAAAAGGCAAAAATACTGGAGAAATAGTTTGATGAGCAACTGACCGCCAGAGAAAATTTTTACTTTATATAGATTAAGTGGTATTACCATAGTCAATGGTAATTGTACCTTATATAAATTTAGATAACTTAATATTAGTGATTAGCATAATACAAGGCAGTCTTCTTCTACAAGGCAGACTGAACCTATGTCAGGGTTTCATTTATGAACACTTGAAAACTTTAATTCCCTACTCATACAAACAAACAAATTGCATATATCATATGTCACAAATGTGCACAGGAACTTCTTTACAGTGAGGTGACGGAGCACTGGAACAGGCTGCCCAGGGAGGTGGTGGAGTCTCCTTCTCTGGAGATGTTCAAGACCTTCCTGGATGTCTACCTGTGTGACCTGGTATAGGTCAAGACCTGCTTTGGCAGGGGGGTTGGACTTGATTTCTGGAGGTCCCTTCCAACACCTACAATTCTTGAGATGCAATCACAGAATCACAGAACTTCCCATCTCATAGCTGCATTACACTGTACTTTGTTACATTACTTATCTCAAATTTTCAATTATGCTAAAAACAGAGGGGGGAAAAAAGGTGGTAGGAAGAGGCAGGACTTAAACTGTCCAGGTTCCTCTGGACTGGAGGGGAGATGTTCACTGCAGAGGAGTTGGACTAGATGATCATCAAAGGTTCCCTTCAGCTCTAAAGCTAAGATTCTGTAATTCTATGTCAAAGCATCTCCTTCTTAAATCTGTAAACCTGAGTCAATTATATTGCCCAGTTACTGTAATCAAAAATCTGTTGGACAGTAAAAATATCTTTACTAAGCATCATAATCTTTCCATTTTATCTTATTTGTCAGTGGAAGCTAGAATAATCTACTACTGACAGTAGAGAATGACAGCAGACAGAATGCAGCATCACATTAAAAGATCTTTCCCCTCCAATTGTTACTTGCACTTCATTATCTGAAGCAGTTAGCACTGCTAGACCTAAGACTTTGCACAAGGTTTCTTTAGTTAAATTCTGATCTACAAGAGATGGAGCAAGTACTGATGAGAGACAGGCACATAATCATACAAAGAAAAGAGAGACACTCTCAGCAACCTGACCGTCCTGGTTTTACCCGGGCTAGAGTGAATTTGATGCGAGGTTTTGTCTTTAGGAGAAAAAGAAAGTTGATAACACACCAATGTTGCACTTGCTGCTGAGCAGTACTGCACATAGCCAAGTATGTTGCAGCTTCTTCAGTGATGGGGCTTTGGGTGTACAAGGAGCTGTGAAGGGGCAGAATCAGGACAGCAGACCTAAACTGGCCAAAGGGATATTCCATATCATATGATATCACGTTGAACAATAAAAGTGGGGATGTTGGCCAGAGGAGCAGAGTCTAGCTGGGGACTGGCTGGGCATCAGTTGGTTAGCGATGAGCAACTGACCGTGCATTACTTGCTTTGTAAATATTGATAGTTATTATCATCATCATCATTATTATTTTTCCCTTCTTTTTCTGTATTAGTTTTTAATCTCAACCCACAAGTTCTACTTTTTTATTATTCTCTCCCACATCCCACTGGACAGTTGTGTGGTGCTTAGCTTCCTGATGGGCTAAACCATGACACTAGTGTATACATGGAAAAAAAAAAAAGAAAAGATTCCTCTCCCACTTCTCAGCTCCAGAAATGTCCATTCCTTAAGGTATACTACTTTTCAAAAACTATGCAAATTCTTTTTCCCACTATTATGCCCCATGCATTAACCCCACCCTGCCGTGGCACCATGACTCCAGCCTTTCCATTACATATAGAAAGCATATGTTGAGGAGATAAAAATTGCAGCACGGGTGAAAAACTGTAGAGAAAGACAGTAGAAGTTCCTTATCTCTCCACATCATCAGGAGGACCTCTAAGTTCTGAGAGTCTTTATGTTTGAATTCTGACTTGCAGACTTAAATAATCAAGAAAGAAAAGACTACCTAACTGAGAAATCTCAAGACTGGGATAGGCCTCAGAAGGACTGAAAATTGAGCAGGCTGGCTATAAGATGCAGTGGTAACAGAATCTGTTGGAGACAAACTGCCGTGTCTTTTCTCTGCATATTTTTGGATTTTTATGTATAATTTTAATACCTGTTCAAGAATAATTTTTATTATTTAGTCATCCAGAATTTGTCTATGGCATGTCCAGAGCAGGTAGATAGTTAGGGTTTGGATATCCAATCTAATTGCAGTTTAAGGCAATCTTTTTCAACAGCCAAAAACATTCTATCCCTCCATTTTCTACAGACAGCCCTCCACCATGGCTCAGTGTCACAGTGGCCTTCTGTAGTAAATGACAGTCAAAATCCCCAATTTAAGCCACCAGTGTTGTTCTCTCAACAGCATAAAGGTTTGTTTCACAGCAACCTGAGAGACTGCCTAGTTCACTTCCATGACAGATGGCAATTTCTCTTTTCACCTGTGGAAAAGAACTCAGCTCTCCATACAGCAAGGCAGAAGGGTTAAACTTGTGCAAGTTCAAGACAAGATAAAAGAAAATATGTAAACCCTTTACCTTTGCAAGCAGTTCATGTAGCTCTGCCTCAGTCGGGAAACAACCAAGTGACCTGACAATTGAACCAATCTCTCTGAAAGAAAGTAAAACATCTGTGTCAGTGATTCTGCAAAACAAGAGTGGCTGTGGCAAATACAGCTATCAGTTCAGAACGTGCATACAGGAGCATGCATGTATGAGTACCTGCACGCATAAGCACACCTATACAACTTTTAAGATAATGTCTCAGAAAGCAATGCCTACTTTTACAGATGTTGCATATCTTGCAGCTTTTGGAAGGGTATAATTATACCTGTCAGTTTCCCCAAAAATTCCTTATTACTCTTGTGTTCATTACTGTGTGCAAGATAATTTTCAATTGATCTCCTGTAATTATTAGGCTCAACTGCAATAAAGCCTACATTTGCATAGTTAATAAAACACTTTGAAGTCTATTGAGATGAAAGGTCACAAAAACATAGGTTTAATTAAATGCTATAAAGATACAAATTCTAACTTCAGAAGACAACAATTACAAAAGTGAGGTGACCTTGTGTTCCTGTTGTGTTCCTGCTGCACAGATAGATAATTCTAGTTTCCTCCTGACTGTCATTTAGTTCAGCAGCTTCAGTTTCCACTGTGTAGTTCCCAACATACAAAAATACAGTTCAAATTAGCTTATGTTCATATAGGTTTTGTAGATCAGACACAATGACAATTTTGTGTCATGGTTTTCATCTTAGATGTCATACTCTCAATGGCAACATTTGCAAAATCACAGATGCCACTGACATAGGATATATTCTAAGCAGAAATGAAACACTATCCTCCTTAAGCTTAATTACTTACTAATTCTTGTATTTGCATTAGGAGTTACCCAGCGCTTGTGTTATTCTGTCAAGCCAGTGTCGCTTTGCATATTCTTCACATATATCTAATATCTCAGGAAATAACACTCATACTTCTACAATCAAGGCTAAGAATTGTGCTGTGCTGCCACCTTCTGATATAAGATAATCAGACATGAATAGTCACACTACTGTGACACAGCCCTGCAATAAAAACATAAGGCAATAAACAAGGTAGTAAATTGTTTTTCATTGTCATAACTGTTCTCTGATTAAAATTAATTGTGAAATAGTACATTTACAGTGTTACATAGACTTTGAATGTCCCTTCTCACATGTTATAACTTACTGGCTGAATGAAAACATTAAAAAGAAAATTGTATTTGAATCATTTAATTGTTGTAACATTTTTCTCAAGCTCTATATCCACTGCAGAGCGTAGAAACTTTACATCTATGCAGACAAGATTGCAGATGTAAATTACAAACAAATAAACACGTATGACATGGTACAGTGAGGGTCGGGCGTTCCTTGGTGCCACCAATCCAGCCAGGAGCAGGCAGCTGACAGGACACCAGGGCAGCTCCAGCAATGAGCACCTCCTTGAGGATGGAGATAAACCAATAGGTTTAAGGAAATAATCTTTAAAAAAAAAAAACTTGAGGGAGGATGGAACAGAATTGAACCAAATGTGGAGACTTGTCCTGAAATTCCCCTACCAACTAAAACTGAAAAGTCATTTCACATGTGAGTTCCTCACACATCCTGTCTAGTGACAAAAAAAATTTCATCAGCTCTGCACCTCCTTTGTAGAGTTTAACTAATTGAATTATAATTAAAAGATCTGGTGAAATTCTTGTGAAAACAGTAGTTTGAAATATGCAGAATTCCTTTGGTAATCTTCAATGACAACAGCTTGTAAAAATTCAAGGAGACATAAGCGTGTTTAATTTTTTATGACAAAAGTAATGTTGTTAGATGTTATGAATATTTATGTTAAAATGAAATTGAAGTAGCATTGTCAAATATTCAAACTTCAAATATATCACTATTAACATTGAGAACTTTTAAATTTGACATCCATTAGCTATGTATTGTGTATCCTGTTATGCCTTGATGAGTCTAACAGTCCATGACCTTTTTACTCCCTGAAATGTATATTTTGTCTCTATTCCCACAGGCCTTAGCAGGTACAGTTCCTGACTCTCTTGGCCATCCCAGTCCCCCAGTTCTGGTCATGCCAAAAAAAGAGACAGCCCTTTAAGAAGCATCACAAAAATGAATGATTAGAGTAATGGAACAGTTCCTCATTAAAAATTAAACACATCTAGACTCTCCAGCATCGAACTTCAGTGATGGAGGAGGGATTTGACAGAGAACTATGAAATCATCAACGGTGTTCAGAAGATAAATAGAGAACAATGATTCACTATCTAACATAAAGTACAACATCAGGAGTCACTCAAATCCATGTGACACATATACAATACAGAAGAAATACTGTGTATTTGCTCAATTCCTTATTCCTTCCCCAACTAACTACTAGCTCAGATGAAGATACTTGACTACATGGACTCTTAGTACAACTGTGTTCATCCTTATGTTCATTGTTGCATACTGTTATTGTATGGTTATATAATACACCTACAAGTGAGCTTCCTAAAACACTTCCTCACGAGAGCAATAGCCACATGTCGCAGTACCCCAGAGAAGGAGGGATGCATGCACTGCACTGAAGTAGCGATGACCTACTGAGAGCATGTAATCATGGCAGAGACCGGCAGGGACACTCCTTGATGTGCTGACATTATTTTGAAAGTGAAGGTATCCATTCAGTACCCAGGACATAGAGCCAAATGAGCTATTAGAGCAGAGATTTGCTAGCAGTAACTGCTAGCCTTAGACTTCCTAACTGGATTCACCCTCGTCTTGCTCCTTGGCCCCACCAGTCTTGCATCCCTTTCTCAAGGGAGTCTCAGCTTCCAACCACTGAACAGTGCAAAATGTTTATTAAAGCAACAAAGAAATACTTGTCTGATCAGTGTCAAAAGGACTGTTTAAATTACATTTTCTGGTAAGGCAGATGCAAGTTGGGAGAGTCACTTATCTCTGTACTACAGCCTGTAATATCTCTATGTGAAGATATTTACAAACCTGACATCCACAGTTTCACTTCCTTCGTGATCAAATGCCTCAAAAGCTTCTGTAATCTTTCTCTCAATTTCAGCTACCACACCATCTGCAAAAAAAAAAAAAAAAAAAACAAAAAACACACAACACAGGGATAACATTCCACTTTCTTTTTAATGCCGATAAACTCATTCAAATTCTTGTCAGTTGTTTTGGGTTTTTTTGCATTTATTTCTCTATCACATGAGGTATGAGAATAAACGTCTTGAAAGCCGTCCTTTAGAAGCATTAACTGAAAATTGTATTCAGTATCAGTTTCCTTCACTGTACTACCCTTTTCTACTTTTCCCAGTTCTAGCAGGAACTAGATACAGCTCTAGACACTGCTAGTTAAGTAAGACTGGCAGGGAATCAGCCTTAAGTCTTCTGGTTCCTTCAGAACAATTATTTCCTCTTCAGGTAATCCAGACTGTTCACCAGCACATGATGCTCATCTGAAGACAGCCCATAAGCAGCACACCTGTCCCAGCTGTGACATTTCTTCCTCACAGACCGCAGCTTCAGTCTTTGTATGGAACAGAAGCAATTAAATAGATGTGATTCTGCTAGACTTTTAAGCAATGAGCATTTTAAAAAAAGCTATTTCCAATTAATACAATTTGTGAGATGCTACCATTCATTTAACTATATGAGCTTCCTTTTCTTCCCTGGGGCCAATTGCTCTGTTAGTTCAAAAAGTCCTTTCACGGAAGAGAAATTATATGCAGAAAAAAGCAGCATCAAAAGAATACAACCTTAAACAGCCACTTAAAATGCTAGAGAGCGGTATTTGCTGCTTACCAGAAGATATTTAGTTCCAAGGCAGTCTGATTAACTCATTTACACAATATGATACCCTGAAACTCTTTTAAAGCTATGTAAAGACTAAGATTAAGGTTTTATTGATGGACACATCCATGGACTTCATTTTATTATTTGATGTTACTGCTCAACACACCTGAAACAGTCTTTATAAACATTAGTCCAGGTATACTTCAATAAATACAGTCCATTTTATATTCCTACATGCATGTAGGCATCTCATTAATTACTTAATCCTCTCTTTGTAGTACCGTATTATGGTTAAAAGCAGGTGTACTGAAACCCTGAGGTCTCTGGCGACCTCCGGTGAATCTTTTCTCACATGGGCTGCCTCTGAATGGGTCAGTTCAAAAGGACAAGAGATACAGCTTCTATCCAGTGATAGCCAGATCTGGAGTCATTTACATCTTGTTCTATTTTCAGTTGAACAGGTTCTTATCAACAGCTCTTTTGTAGATCTCTCCATCCACTTATCATGGCTCACCAGCAGAAAGTACTGAATCCTATCAGTGACTACACTTAGAAGCCCTGGCTACTCTAGTATCATTTAATATCTATCCTACCTGCCATTATTTCAACCAAAAAGATAGGAAGTCACTTTGGTCCCATAGGCTGAAATATTCAGAATGAGATGCCCCCTGCCATCTCCATTCAACTTCAACAAACCTCCTCCCCCTGCTTATGGATCCAAGCTATAGGATTTATAACCACCCTGCTAAGACCACTCCAACATTTTTCTGTAAGACCCCTACAACTAACCTTTACAAATTCCAGCTCTCCCCATCATCCCCACAACCACAAGCAGTACCTCTCTCACCACGCAATGCCAAGCAAACAAGAGAGATGAGGTGGTTGGGCTATTGGGAACATCTGAGCCAGCTGGAGATGAACAAGGTACCAAGAAAAGTGTGAAGGTTCTGCTTAAGATCTGAACTGCATGCTCTAGAAAAGGGTTTGGCCAACAAGCAGAAATAATTAATGAAGTTCTTACTCCTCTGACAATCAACAGCTTTAATATGGAATTAAAATCCTATAAATGTGTCTAGAAGCAGTAAAAGTTCTCCAATGGAACAGGAGAGCGATGCTGTTCACAAAGATGTGAAGCCTGTACCACGTTCCCCTCAACAGCAATTCCCAATTTACTAGGTAGGTGTGCAAGGCAAATGAATGAAAGAAATGAACTAAAAGGCAAAAACAACTGGTCTTTGATGTTTGCAGCCATTCTTTCATTTGAACTCTACAAAAGTATATCACAACAGAATTATTAGTGAAATTAGAGCACAAAAATTATATATATAAATCTCTCTATACATGGCTGTAGTTCTAATTAAAAGACATTTATAACATTTACTTCCTCAAATGTGTGGCAAGAAAAAGCAGCTTCACAATTGCAGCTCACAGGAGGTTGTCAATTAGCTCTTACAAGATCTAATCAGGCTTTTAAGCAACTGTTTACTGAATCACTACCTAAAGATACTAAAGAGCAGTTGTAATACTAAGCACCGGTGAAATCTCAGACTCTGAACTAAGCACGTCACTTTTATTAAGATATTTTGTTTTCAGAGCAAGAAGGGAAAGCCAGTCTAGTTTCCTAAGATTCATTCTTGGTGATGTGATAGCAAGGTGTTGTCATACTACTATTTCTCTTTCCTAACTCTAAAGCAAAGTATATCACTCCTTAAATTATTTCACCACGAATGTTTGGATTGCCCTTGTGAAGTTTGTTCAGGAACCTGACTGACTTAAAAGCAATGCAGAAAGCTCTCCCCACTCCAAAGATGACAGCCTTACAGTATTTAACTTATTCTATTTTAAAGAAATTACTAACGGAAAGGAACACAGAAAATCTGACTTATTGGCAAAACCCTTCTGCTCTATAGAAGAAAATGCATGCATTAGATTTTGTCTAGTGACCTCAATTCCAGAGGAAGAGTAAAGTACAGTCAACTCAGTATGCTGAAGCATTAATTTTATCTTAAGTTCTAGAAATAATTGGACAAGAGAAATATTTTCTTCTCCACTCTGAACACCCAATAGCATGCAAAATACAAATATAGCAGATATCAGAAAAGGAAAGAACAATATGATTAAGCTGTAAGCTTGTGAAATATGAAATGATTGAACTGAAGTCTTTGCAGACACTGGTACATAGCCCTATTAGGGGTCCAAGCTACGGTCTGCAGAGTTAGAAAAGGCATAACGCTCTCTGTTCTAGATGTTATCATCAAATAATCTGTAGGCAAACTGAGTTTTAGCCTTTCTCTTAGACGAAGAAAGGAGTTTAACTGGTTTCTGTAGAAGTCACTTTCAAGCATTCACAAAGAAGTAAAAATTACGTCCCACTGAGATGCAGCCCTTCACGATTAGACTCATTTCGCACTAAGAAGGTGATTCGTTTCTCCCCTTCACTATAGGCAAGAAAATCTTTCCTTCCTGCTGTTCAAAGCAGCTCCTGAGCAGCAGCTGATTGCTGATGACAAGCTAGCTCTGGGACATACAGAGGAATGATGCCAAAGTTCTGTGGTACACCAGAGAAAACGCCGCTCCCCGGTAGGCAGTTAGTCTGAGTGGTGAATACAGGCATATATCAATCCACACAAAAAACACTTCATGTAACTCAGGAAATGCACCAAAAATACGCCCTGATGCTTTTACTGTATGCAATCTGTGCACCTATGTCATATCTACATAGATATCCATATATATTTAAGCACCAATCTTCATAAGCATCAGCAGAGAAGCCGATAGTCCTGGGAAATGATCATGGAGTATCACCTAGTTATATTCAGATGGAGTTCAATTTTCTCAAATCTGAAGCACCTGCTGAAGTTTGATGAGTGATTAGTTTTTATACACCTATATATATATTTTTGTTGTAGGATTCTGTGGGAACAACCCTCTCCACTTTCACTTTACAAAACAAATTTGTGACGGCATCTATAGAGGAGAAAAGGAGATGCAGAGGCTGGTTTGTATGACAGGGCCACATGTTGGGAAGTACAGCATATCACATTCCCAGCCAAAGCAATTTAACGCAAGACAGACTCTGGAAGAAAGAAGGCATTCCTCATCTAGGGAGAACCGTGATAGCAACCCATAGCAGAATCCAGCCAAGAGCAACAAGTGTGTGCCATAGAAATACAGGCGTGCAGACTGGAGCCAGGACTTGCTACTGCACTGGATCCTCCTGCTGATAAAAGTGTTCTGTAACGAGCAGTATGTCCAGAAAAGAAGAAAACCACAAGATCAACTAATCCAGGTTAAAACTGCTAGAGATTCAGGCATTTTCTAGTGACTAATTTGTAACCTATACTACAGCCTTCCTTTTACACCCGCTAGGAAAATGGCCCAGTGGAGGCTGTCAGCCTCTGCCACACTGGTGTTATTAGGCAGCAGTTCTTCTCTTCAGAAATAATCATGCAAGCTGGATCCCCCCATATACAGCACAGGAGGCAGGTTCTCTGCTTTGACCAGTCAGGATATACTGTGCAGCAGGACCACTACCTCTGAACAGCAGGAAAGTGCACAGGCAAGTGAACACTCAGCCCCCAGTCCTCTCCAAGGTCCAGTCCTATTGCTGTGAGACTGCTGCTCTGCAGGCTGTGCACAGCTCCACCTCACCAAAGCCCTGGCTGCCTCTGTCATCTCCTGCTATCTCACTGGCTGCTGGGATGCTGCAGTCAGGTGTGTAGAGTAGCACTCTGCCTGGCTCCTTTCCCTAGAGCTACAGCTCACAGATTTTTATCATCTTAGCACTAAGCCCTCTGGACTCTGAAATGGTCAATAGTGAGAGCTAATGCTCTGACCTGGCCTCCATAAGCACCTTACTCCTTCTATCTTAACCCATCATTGACCCCGATTTAAGGAGTTTAGGGCTGTGAGCAGTAACACAGAGCTTACTCCCTTGTCTTCTGAATAAAGCACAGCATTGGGAACAAAAAGAAACACATGATGGGTATATCCCACATATGTCCAAACCTCTAGACAGAAAGTAGCAGTAATCTCTTAGAGTTTCAAAAAATCTGGAGTCCTCATTACATACACCAGAAATGCCTGAGCATCTTTCAAAACACAACAGCACCTGCCACGACCTTAAAAAAAGCTGGTTTCTCCAGCTTTCACACAAGTCAGCTCTTGCACACTGTACAATCAATGAATGTACAGATGTTATAGTTACAAGGTATACCAGACAGCTTGGCTATATAGTTATCTTGGCTATATAGTTATTACACCAAAGCAGAAAAGACAGGACACTTACCCATATCCTGAGCTTGCTTACTAAAGCCCAGTGGAGCAGATCTCCAGAAGAGATCCTTCCCTGCTGGCAGTCAGCTCTTCAATGGGTCTAGGAGAGGTGCAGCCAGGCTCCACCCCTTCTGGCAGCACAGGTGAATTGCCTTCAGCTGTGCTCCTCTGGCTGACTCATGGCTCGCCTCAGGTGATCCATCAGAGGTTCAGGCCATGATTCAGCAGTTCCCATACACACACTTTGCGTATTTGTTGTTGCAGCCTTTACAAAAAAAACACTTTCATTTTCTTCCTCATATTCTGTCATGTGTTAAAACTATATCACCCCATCACTACTTTGTCTTCCTGCATTTCTTGAAGAGAAGGGTTGAGCAAGACAGTTTGCCAAACTCTGAAGTGAGACACTTACAGTGACCTTACATCACACAAAAGGTTTCTAAGTCCTGGATCATAATGACACGCATTTTCATTGGATAAGCTGTCAAGTGGTTTATGTCAGGAGCAGCTGTGGCATTTTTAGAATGGCTATCAGAACATAGCATGAAATATTCAGCTATAGTTCCCAGAATTTGGCCTCACCTGTCTCCTCCAGCAGTCGGCCTTGTTTGCTACCTTCTGCTCCCAAACCTCAGCTGGATGTTCACAACAGCTGCACATTATTATTTTGGAAACAGCACCAATAAGAATTTTCAAGGAGAAACACATATACAAATTAAACCTAACAGGTCTCAGTTCTGATCTGGTTTTTCAGCCAGCCAGGCTCATCATCTATTCTGCAGCTACTCAAGTGGTAGTTGAGTTTGTCTTCATGAAGGCAAGTGCTCTGTGAGCCAAAAATGCAAGCTCTGAGTAATACTGCTCATCCTAACCATTTGCACAGGTCTAGCTCTAGGAGTAAAACATTCCCTCTGCTATCTGGTGTCTGCAGACGAGTTGCCAAATACCTGTCACTGTATACAAGCGGCAATGAGGGCAATGAAATGACACACTTTGCCACAGTGACCTGCATAACGACTGGGACAAATGTTTCTCTTTTAATATGAAAATCTTCATTGTCTGCTGAGCAGAATATGTGGAGATAGCTTGCTGACATTGAAAGAGAGCAAAAAAGACCTTTGCATAGATGTGGACTGCCTCCTATATACGTGATTCACAGGTAATATACAATTACTATCTTCTACTTCTCTTGAGGAAAGTCTTAACGTTATCCTTCCTAGACAGAACTGAAAAAAATGACAGCACTTGAGGTTTGTTAGCCTGCAAAAAATAATTGCTATACTTTCTTTGAAGTCAATACCAGCTTCGTGCGGTCTCCCTTTTCATCAGGCAGAGATAAGCTCAGCATAAATCTCCATTAGCGGTGTCCTGTGCATCCCTAAATTCCCAACTCTGGCAGCTGTACCAGGCAGTACTCCTACTGCAGCTCAGAGCTGGCAAAAACTCTAATCTCCACTGCTGCAATTTGTTCCATATCTTTCATCCCAGTTACACCTGGGAGCTAATGAAAGAGTTATGTCTAGCCTGTACTTATATTCTCTTTCATCACGAGTGGCAAACTGCCCTGCAAGGATATATAGCTCTTCTGGCAACGCTGGGAGTTGTGCTATACCTTCAGCTGCTGCTGAAAGGTAAGAATCAACACAGTCTGCCACAGGGCCAGAAAGCAGCCTGTGCTGTTGTAATGTGTGCCCTCTGAAGGCAGAGCCTCCATTCCTCCTGGACTTTACATAGCCACAAGGGACAACTCCAGCACTCCCAGCCTTACGCACTCCCCCAAGCTGCCCAAAAGGCAGTGTGCTGTGGTGCACCCTGAGACACGGGTCGTGCTGCTGAGCACTGGGGATGATGGCCCTGGTAGGGCACACTGACCTGTCACCAACAGCACACACGTTCACCTGCCTGAACCTGTGTCAGCACAGAGCGTCTCATAAATGTGCTATGCTCAGTAAACTGCCACTGGGTGATGAAGTCATTAATCAGAGATCAGCATAAAGTGGATATTAAAGCTCTTAGAAGTTATTTATTAGAAACATAAAGTAGTGTGAAGTTTAACTCTAGCAGTGGCTAGAATACAGCAGTTAAACTTCCTTCATTTGAAAGACATATAATTGTCTAGAATACTGTGGGAGAAGGAGAGCTTTTCAGTATGACTTCTAATACAAACTGCCACTATATAACATATCACAAGTTGCCTGAAAGGGTTTTAAATGGGCTTACAAAAATACAATCTCTGTACTGGTTGCCATCCTATCTGCACTGCTCTGACCCGAGAACTTGGACCGACCAAAGCAGCTTCAAAGAGAAATAAAACAGCAAGAGATTAGTTGCAGCTACATGCTTCTCAAGGAGCTGTCTTGAAAGCATCGCATGTAGGGCTAAACCCATTTCTTTACACATTATGAATGCATATGAACCTCCAACTATCTTTTTGTTTGCATAAGGATCCAACTATCTTTTTGTTTGCATTGGAATTTGAACAGTATTTTAGCTGACAAATTTAAGACATTTACATTTATTGTCAATATGGGATAAGACATTTCTATAACCATTTGAGGCAGAAAAAAGAACACATGCTGTTCATGGAGAAATTTCACAACTCACGTCTCATTGTAACCTAACCACCAGTAAACAAGGTCCAGGTCCAGAACCTCTTGCCAAGTTAAACCAGCAGCACAAAAATCCTTACCATATTGAAGATGGAACTTCTTCAAAAAACTTCAAATCTGATAAGTTTTTGAAAGCGATGGCTGTATGCAGCAGCAGGCTGAACTAGAGGAAATTCTATCCAATCTCACATCTGCAGGACTTCTGCATAGCATCCACACCTATGTAACATCGGGCAGGAAATATTTCCTATTTCCAAAGAGCTGAAATCTGTATTTAATTTTAAAGATTGACATTCACAGTTAAAGGTCATTTATAAAAACATCCCATGGGACCAACACACAGTGCACCCTCAAAACCCTTGCTGGCCAGGTTTGGTTTTGGGAAACCCCTGCCTTTCACACTGCAGCAGGTCCCTGCAGGCTCACACGGTAGCCACAGCTACTGCCCCTTACCCTCACCCTGCCAAATCCCACCATAAATAGCAACAAAGCAGTATCTGCTCACACAAATTAAGGTTGCTTGAAAATAAAGAAATAAATCCTCAGATCTCAGAATAATTAGTATGCAGAGTAATGGAAATTCTTAATAACATGTTAACTGCTGCTAGAGAGAATTTGTGGGTGTTCTCCAGCTCCCTGTCAGTGCTGCGTATCTGCTGGTTAGCATTGTTTAAAAGACAAAAAAAAGTTTAAACCCTTTCTGCAAACCAGTTAATTTTGTGCTCGGTAAGTCAGTCAGAATTACAGCCACACTGAATAACTTCTGCTACTTTATGTGCCATGGAAACAAGAAATCTGCCAATCTGCAACTACCTCTTCTACATGCATTTGAGATAACTTCTAGTGCAGGACTATAGCCAAGAGGATCAGATGTCTACAGCCTGTGCTGATCTATAAAAGATGGGCACAATTTATTCTTTGTCTCAGTCTCAAGTACAAATATTAAAACATAACTCAAAGTGATGTCAAGGCGCATGCTAAACCGCATTACGACCTAATAAAAGATATCAACTTTCCTCCTCAAACAATTTCTCACAGCGATGTCAACAAGAGGAAGTAGTATTTATCTCTAAATCCTCAGGTGGTAAGACTACACACTGATTTTTTAAGGGATCTCATATATTCAGGTTTTCTTCTACAGCTGAAATAGTCCTTGCTTGAGCCCTATGAAAGCTATTTGTTTTAACAACGTATGCTAATGTTGTATTTTTTTCCTCAAAAGAAACACTGCTTCTTTTACAATTAGAGATAACTCACCCGATGAAATATGTTAGCCTGAAGGTTTATCACAAGTGTTTAGTCTACAGCTTTTGTACTTTGCATGCAGATGCTTAACCCCTGAAAACCCCCCAAAACCAATTTAAAATCCTTAGTACAGCAAAATATTTAAATGGACTCGTGCACTTAACATCATATGCATCATATTATCACCTTCAATGGGATTCTCCAAAGCCATACACAGCTTAAGCACTTTGCTGCATTAGGTTTGAAACTCTCCTGCCTGTTAAGTGAGCTGTGAGCACAATTAATGGTTACAAATGCCTACAGCACTCATGGCAGCCACCAGGCTCGCTAATGTTGGACTCACAACTCGACAAAAATACAGAGAACAGCAACAGAGCACTTTTAATCTCTGTAATGAATACAGACTCAAAGCAGACCAAGGCGATGTGAAGAACGTTTAGATCCCACTCACAGATGTAGGAAGATTCAGAGGGGCAAATGAAGCAGTGGCAACTCCACTTTTTCACAGAAGGTAACAGTTAAATGGGGTGTGCAGCCTCTTCTTAACAGAAGTGAACTGCAGTGCATCTCTACTTTCACCAGCACGCCAGGTAGCAAAGCAGGGCAGCTAAAGAGCAGGTGTGTGTACGGCTCAACACATTGGCACTACATTTACATAAGGCTATAAAACAGAGGTAAAAACTCTTTCCCATCTTCACTAACAACCTCAGCGTGAGTTTCTCACAAGTTGGGAAAAGGATCTGTGAGGACTAATTACATACTCAGCAGTAAATTGAACCCCAGAACCACTACTATTTACCAGAGAAAATCATCATCAGAGAAAGGCTATTGTCCATGTCCTTAAGTCTTCACATCAGAATCTGGTATGTTTCTGGAAGACCTCTGTTACCCAGAATCAGTTGTTCAGTTCCATACGGGTGTGCAACAAGAGCTCAGAATATTTAATCTACTTCCTTTTGGATTCAAATTCTTGACTTATTAATTGCATTTTAAATATGCTAATATGCTTTGTGCTAACTAGCACAAAGAATATGGTGTGTGTAAAACTCTCACACTGATCACATACACAGCATTACCATAATGATAAAGCCACACTGAATGTTCTCTCTTTTATGTACTTCCATGTAATTTCTTAAATCCCAGCTGGAGAAAAATATGTCTTGTCTTCCATTTAGTTTTACTTCAGGCACTACTGGTCTGACACTTTACTTTCAGGTTCTAATAACATCAGCATTGAGATCAGAGATATGAAAACTTAGAAAATCTGACATGTTCTGTCAAATTATAAAGAAAGTACCTGAGAACAAACTGGAGGACAGATTGAACTAAGTAGCAAAAAAGGGAAGAGAAACAGAATAATGGAAAGAAAGATACGGACGAACATGCAAAAGAGAAAGATATAGCAGTCTAATGTAATGAGATGGGCATAAAGAAAAAAAAAACATTAAACAACATTGAAAGCACAAATCTATGAATATAAATTCATGCATAAAACGTACAGCTCCATATACTGTGGGCATGATATTAACACACACACATGCAAGATTTTATTCAC